GATTGAAATGCCATCAAAATTATACTCAGCTTTTAACTGCAACTCTCCCTAAACAAATATAAGAACTTATTTTTTATGTTTTTAATTTCAAAGAATCTTCAATAATAATTTGACTATTCTAGTGCCACAACATTAAATTACCAAGTTTTAAGATTACAAATTTGTCTCATTAAAAAATGCACTAAATGATGGATCATATTGTATAAATTAGCTTACATAGTATTAATATTTCTTTTAGCCGCAAAACGTTTGAATATAAAGCAATTTAATGTTAAAAGAGAAAATTGAAATTGTATCTTTATGTCTTTGGCTTTTTGTCCGTATAGATAATCAAATAGAAAAACAACGTTTTTGAAAAAGACATACTCTTAAAACTATATATACAAGACAAAAAGCTGTTAAAAGTAAAATTGTAACTCTAATAGTTGCTATAATATCAAACACTATTTCTTAACAGTGTCATTAAAAATGTAAAATGTAGTGAAAAAAAAATTTCAAATAATTATAATTAATTAATTGTAGAGTATTCCAAGTGCCAAGTGCAGGAAAGCAATTCGCCGTCAGAAAACCAATTGAGGTACGAAATTTCAAACTTTGTCTTTGGCGGAAATGTGGGGAGCCAACCAGCTTTTGTCCCCATCATCAGGGCCAGGAGAAGCTCGAGAAGATGGAGGAGCAGGATGGAGTGGAGCTGGAGTCAGTCGCCCGGCCTGCGGAAATATTGATTCTCGTCTGGCGTTCCATACCCTTTCCCGCACCACCCACCGCCCACCGCAATTCCGCCCCCCGGGGTCGAGAGGCCAAAGTTTGCATTTTTCGCCAGACACCGGCTTCTTTGCAGTTTTTCACTTGGAGTGTGTGTCATGCTAATTATAAATCGAAACTTCCGGCGACACTTTGTCAACTGCAAGAAGTCTTCCGCCCAGCATCCACCCACTAACCCCACCTCCTTGCGATCGTCCTCCACTTTCTGGCACTTTTCTGACACTTTTCTGAGATTTCCTCTCCGACCGCACTGGAAGTGAATTAAATTCAATTAAATAAAGCAGAACTCAACTTTCGGTTAAATCCCTCAATCGCCAAACGCTTAAGTGGAAATTAAGGGATTCCCGGTGATAAGCAGAAAGTTGAGTTTAAACTAATAAAAGTTATACATGAAATTCATAAGCATTTAAGGTCTTAAGTAAGTTTCTTTTTAACGTTTTCGTTTTACTATTTTAATTAATTGATATAGCTTAAAAAATTAGGCTAACGACTAAAACTATTTGTGTTAATCCATTTTCATTTTAGCACACATGAAAAAATAGGGCATTCACATATGAAATTTTTTATTTATTTATTTATTATAGATTATAGTAAAGTTTACAAAACTACGGGGGGTGTAGTGCTAGCTGCGGGGCCTTCGACTTTGTATTATTGTAGGTTAACTTAAATTAACAATATTTCTTAGTTTTAATTTTTGGATTTAGTTTTCGTTGTATAAATTGTTTTTTTTTAGGAATGATATAATTGTTTTGATATTTTCTAATGTAAGGTTCTTTAGGTAGTCGTTGGCTAGTAGGTTTTTAAGGATATGTTGCTTGTCCTGTGTAAATGCTGGGCATGAGTCTAGGATGTGTTCCATGTTTATGGGAGTTGATGATTGTCAGAGGGGGAGTTTCGTGTGTATATCAAATTATAATCACTAAATTGTTTGACTTAAGTTAAATTTTAGTCGCAATACCCTCCTGAAAGTGTCAGGCTAAAAGTGTAGACAAATGTGCAAATTATAACTCGACTTTGCACTTAACGCAGAGATACCAAAATACTATACTATAAACAATAAAATATAGAAAAAAATGATTGTTTTCTATAAGGCTTATTTTGGGCTTAAAATTAAAATACCTAATTTAAATGTACCATTAAGACCTCCTAAAGCGTAGAAACATGCGTTCGTGAAACAAAAAATACAAAACTACTTTTAAGATCTCAAGCTATAAATTCTGCTGTATGAACTATAATCGAATGTGCTTGAATTTAAATGTTCCTGATCATTTGAAATCGAAAGACAGCTGTGACAACAAGGATCTGTCCACGACAGCCTTTCGTCTTTCGACGCAGGGTCTTCGACTTGCTTTTGGACATTTTACCAGAAGCTCCCCCTCCCCGGAAATAACGAAGAAACTTTTTCGATTATATGCTTGTGAAAGTTTTGGGTGTTTGTGCAGTAAACACAGCCCCACCCACTCGTTTCAGCCAACTCTTTTTGGCCCTGGCCAAGTCAGTGGGCCAAAAGCGAACCGCAATTCGACCGCACATCGGCAACAACAGTGGGAATAACACCAACGGAACTAACCTCTCATTTTGTTGTTGATATTGGCATAAAAACGGGCGAGGGGAACCCCAAAGCAAAGTAAAACCGAAAAGCAGCTCGTAAACAAGCAATAAAATTGTAAAAAGGACAACGCCAGGGCTGCCACCAATTGGCATTGTCAAAGGATACAGCCAGGCACATACGTGAGTGTGTGTGGCGAGGGGCCAAAGGACACACTAAGGCACACACAGCCCCTTGGTATTTCAATGGTTTCCTTTCGCACAGCTTCGAAAATTGCGTGTGTGCGTACGGGCATAAAGGATGTACAATCCTGGCCAGGATTATTAAGTCAATATGATGTGGTCAAGTTTTGGCCATTTATTTAATTAAGATGCATTAAATGCCTCGTCCAATTATCTTTATGTGCGAATTTATATTCAAAATGTGAGGAGGAGTTGTCTGAATTCTAGGTCTTGAAGAGCAAGATTTTCGATCTTTCCTATGTCAGCTAACCGATGTCGTTGATGAAATAAAATCAAACAAATTGACTACGTCACAAATAATTTACTTCTTTTTATAAGGGTTATAATAAATAAATAACGTACAAAACGCAGTTAAATAACACTACTGAATTGTAAGTCTAATGATTCTAATCATTCTTCTCTTTACCCGAATCTTAAGTCATGTTTTATAAAGAAGTCTATTAGAAGAAGTTTTTTAAAAAGTCTATTATTATTGTTATTTTTGATAATTAGTCTTCTTTGTGATATTTATCCAACCAGCTCCATCTTCTAATTAAGGCAAAGGACCTTGAACTGTTCATTAAAGTTTGAGCCGTCTCAATGTATATGCAGGTTTTCTCTGACATTTCTATTTTTTCTTTCTATTTGTCCTTTTGTTCAGTAAAAAAAACTGTCCACCTGCACAATCCACTAATTGATTAACACCTGGATGTGTTCCATCATTTCGTGGTGAGAATTTGTTTGCCACTTACAGATATTAGAGCGAGTCCTTCGTCCTGCAAAAATCTGGCCACAAGTTGAGTGGGGGAATGTGGCTGCCCAAGGAGCGAATCCCTCTAAATGTGTCATTAAAAAATTAAAAGCAAATTCCCGCACAATTCCCAAGGCGAAGATGCCGACAACATTGTTGATGGCTAAAGGGAAAATGGCGGAAAATCAGAGGGCGAGCTAGGAGAATGTCCTCCGAAGACGTCGAAAGCCAGATGCCACATTAATGTCCCTGTCCACCAGGCGGCAGAGAATAGAAGGCGGAGCGGATGATTCTGGACGAAATTGCCTCCGGAGGAGCGAAGCCCAACGAGATGGGACAATGTAGTAAGGACATCCCCTGCCCTTCAGTTCCCTAGATGGCGGCAGAATAAAGTGGTGCCTGTCACCACACTTACTGTCTTATGCGGTTTTTCTATTAGTAAATTTAAACCTTCAGCTTGGTTTACGTATTCCTAAGTCTTTTCACACGGAATATAGTCTTTTCACAACCATATTAAATTGTACTGAAATTTTTTAAAAATCTTTTATTTGTTATTACGTATACGCACATATTACGTATACGCACATATTACGTATACGCATATATTACGTATACGCACATATTACGTATATGCATATATTACGTATACGCACATATAACGTATACGGACATATTACGTATACTCACATATTACGTATACTCACATATTACGTATACGCACATATTACGTATACGCATATATTACGTATACGCACATATTACGTATACGCACATATTACACACATCTTTTATTAAGAAATATTATAAAATCTAGTACATCAGTTGCCATTCAGACACATAATGTTCTCACTTCCCAATTTATTAATTTTGTCAACCAACTGTTTTATTTTTTAACTTTTTAACCCACTGCCTAAACTATTTCTCTATATGCTAACAAGCATATTGATTATACGCACATATTACGCCACTATTTTGTTTATAAAGATACGTATACGCATTTATTGTGCTTGTAAAGATTATGTAGTACATCAGCTGTTTATCTAAATCATTTCTCACTCTAAAAATAATTTAATATTGTCAAGCAACTGTTTCATTATTGAACCCTATCGCATAAACTAATTCTCGTTATGTTATCATGCATATTACGTATACTCCATGTCAACTATTTACATACATTTGCGTCAAAAACTCAAAAACTGTTCGATAATAGGCACTGAGAGTCTGACTCTTGCGGTCCATAAATGAATGGCGACCGAAATCAAATTACATGCCACTGTCACTCAGTCATGGACTCCGTACCGCCCTCAGAACCCCCCAAAACCCCTCTGAACCCCTCCAAACCCCTCAAAAACCTCGTACCGCCAGTTCCGATTCGCAGACTGACGTTGATTGCTTTTAGTCGGTGGGGCGTTGTGGCGGCGTGGGCGTGGGCGAGGGGCGAGGGGCGAGGGGAGCGCGACTGTCGCCCTTTATGCTTTTTAAAATATTTTATTAATTCAATTAATTATACATTTTTTGTGGCCAGGTGTTGCATGCAAAACTGCAAAAAACCCATGGATGGGCGGCTTTAAATTGATTGTATTTCTTTTTTAAATAAAAAAAGCATAGAAACATACGAAATATATTAAGGAATTATTTTCTTCAAATCTTAAATATTTTATAACCATCAAAGTGGTCAGTAATATTAATATTATCTTGGTGTTGTCCTAAAAAAAAAGGTATGTAAAATTAAATGATATTTTCGTATAATTTAGTGCTAATTAAATTTATCGTATAAGTTCTGAATTCATATTTCTAGAAAGCGACACTGAAAACCGCTTTGTTATTCTGAAATAACAATTTCCTTCTTTTAACGAACAGATTTAAAATGATGAAATTGGGCTCTTTCGCTAAATAAGTTAAAAACTTTATTACCATGAAAAGTCACATAATAAGATAGTAATGAAAAGTATCTAATTTTGTTTATAATATTACAAAAACGTAACTTTTTATGATGATATAGGTCTTATCAACATTTCAACGGTTGTGAGTGAAGTTCTCCATTTATAGTCCTGAAAAGTACCCCAAAGTATTCCATTGCTCTTCTTACTTTGGCCGTCTTTATAGAATTTTCCATTAAGCTGACTGTAATTTGAAAAGGTTAAATTAGAGGTTTATTTCTAAAGCGATTTGTTTTTCATTTCATTTGAATACCTTTGTCCACACCCAAAGTACCACCAACCACCACTTTCGTCTGCTGGGCATCTATTTCCCAAACTGTCATTGTTATAGTCATGAGTACTGAACTTTCTGCTCAAATGTTGTTCTAGGGAATCTCCGGCAGTGCCATTATACTGCCCAATATTTTCCAGCCTATAAAAATCATCCTTACTGCCAATTACGAAATGATCGTAGTGAGCGTAAGCGGTGCTTCCATTAAACATCCCAAGCTTAATGTGGAGCTCGTGTTGTTTATCCGTTGTCATGATGTGCAGTTTCTCCAGCCCGATGAAAAATTCCCCCTTGATGTCACCAAATCCATCCACATATTCCTCCCAATAGCGATGGAAGTTCTCGGATCCATCGAATCGTCTCTGGATTACCATCCAACCACTATCATTACCCTCTGCCGACCCACAAAACACATAAAATGGTTTCATTCCGCGCAGCTCTATTTGATAAGTGTCGTTTGCTAGGTCTCTTCTACACGAACTGGGCAAAATAACATTGGATTCCGAGAGCTCAACTGATTCGGTCTGAATCTCAAGATCAAGAGGTGTTGAATTTGGTTCATTGGAGCTTTCATTTTCGAAATTTGTATTTGGCTCTTTCGCTTGTTCAACTATTTCCCTTATGAGATCATCAGTGGTCTTGATTTCTTCACCCTTTTTATTTGCAGGCACTTCTTTGATTTTTTTTTCAGTCTCAGCAATGGACAACATACTTTGCAGAGCTTTTAACGATTCTGCCAAGGTATTTGATTTGCCAATCACTTCCATATTCAGCTGCAAAAGACGGTCGAGAAGAGGCTTGACACTCGAATATTCAAAGCAGGGATTTTTAATACTCGAATTTGATGGCTCCAGATGAACATTTTGAACTGGGCCTGCTCCTGTTAGTGATAGCCCCTCCAAAATCCACAGTGACAGAAAAATCATTAAAAAACCCGACTTCATTATGTTGTACAACCGAATGGTGCAGCGACCGTTAAAAAACTAAATAAAGCAAACAAGAATACTTGATATAAATATGCACTATTTTACCCTCTATAGTCGAAGTCCACAGATTATATACATTGTACAGATATTCTTGTTTCCGGTGTTTGATAAGTTGAGAATGGCTTTGAGAAACGAAATAATAAAACAAATTTTAACGGCGAGTTTGTAAGCAGCATTATATACAATCATTAAAATACCGAATTTTATTATGAAAAGCTGGCTGTCACTGATAACAAAAAATTCTACATTTCCACTTCTATAGTTTTCAGCACTGAAAAAGAAAAGTACGCCTTAAGTGTTACCTTCAATACAATAAATTGAAGATTATAAATAAGCATTTCAAAATCAATTTTTGAAAATGCACTTAAAAACAATAACGACGATAATAAGTAGGACATTAACTTGTTGGAGCACTTACTTACAAGTAAAATTTATAAACTATTGTTTTTATAGGCCGAGTATAAGCTTTGAACTGTGTTCAAAAAAAAAGGCAAAGGTGTTGAAAATTAAGTATCATTATTTACGAGAAATGGTACTCGCCCACACCCACACTGTGTATTCAAAATATATATAATTTGAAACTGGCATTCTTGTGGTTTTGGCAGTGCGTTTGAGTATTTTCAATTAGGGAACCGCTGGCATAAGGAGTGCGTGGTGCCATGAGGTGAGCGGAATTGATATACACCTAATTGGCTGCTAATTAATTAAGTGTTTCGGTGGGTTGAGTTGTGGAAATGCCTCGGCAAATGTCTGACAATGCAACCGTTTGGGGTAAATATAACCGCGACGAGTGGGCTGAAAAGGGGTGAACTTTCCAACCACCCGGCTTTTGCGCCCTCTCCTTCTCCATATTTATGTTTCTGAAGAAAAACTTGCAACATCCTTTGACTTAATATTTATTGCAGTTGACTGCATGTCGCACAATACAAGCCAAACATGAGAATGCAACTGCAGCATAGGAATATCGAATGGAAAACTACGAATGCCCTTATTGAAATACATTCAATTTAATTCTTCTTAATAAAAAGCACTTAAACTTATAATGAAGTAATTGATTAGAAAGGAGGTAGAACACTGTAAAATAATAATCGTTTAAATTATAATAGTTAATATATTTAAATGATCAAATATTAGAAAGTAACTAACGAACAAAAATTGGCAACTCCTATGAATATGATTCAAATGATGGGTTTCCATTTGATTATTTTAAATGCTAAAAGTAAGTATAAATGTGTATTAGAAGAGAGTCAATAATAAACATTACAAAAATCTTTTGCTTACCAAAAAATAACTAAAATATTTAATTTTTGGTTTTTTCAGCGGAAATCCCCCCAAATAGCTATTGTACCCTAAATCTTTGAAATCGGGCAGATAACAAATGCATGCGAATTCGAATACAAGTGCATGTGACTGACATCTGTGTGCGTTACTCTGTTTACACGCGTGTGTGTGTGTGTGTGTGTTCGTGTTGCCAACTGAAATGACAAATGACTTTTGCTTTTGCTTTGGCTTCTTGTAGCTGTTGTTGCTGCCCCAAGTGAAGTTAAGCCAACAAGAAAGTTAAACACTGACAATGAGATTTATGAGAGAACTGGCTCACATATATATATATATTTAGAAATGTGTATGTAGAGGGGGAAATGTCCTGCCTGGCTGCACGTATGTTGATGTGCATTAAAGCATGACTAACCTAATTCAATTGTGCTCCAGGATATGCACACAGTGATGTGGTATCTCCTCCTCCTTTTCCCCCACCCACCGTATAAATACACATCCGAACGTTTGTGTTGGCGTCGTTTAAATAACGTCTAACCCCAATCAGGGCTAGCTGCCGTGCTCCTTCGTCCTTCGGGCCACATCCTTCATCTATCCTTAATGGCCGCTGGCAGTTGCCACATTAACCGCCTAGTGTCCTGCACAGGAATAATTTTAGCCTCCTGAAGTGACAGTACTTATGTAGAATCAATTGTTTCACATTTTTCCATTTCGCACTTTAACGGATTACACCGCTTAAATGGTGTATATATCACATTATTTGAGTCTTATAAAGGAATAAATATATGAATTCTTTATTCAACAAAAACTTGCCAAATAATTTAATAAAAAAATTCCAAGGCCAAAAAACCAACAAAGTAAAATATTGTATATTGTCTACAGCTTAGTTTGTTATTTTCGAGTTATATATTTTCTTAGAACATTATTAATTTTTAAATTCATCAAGAATTTTAAAACCCACAAATAGATCTTAATTACTTTATATGACATGGTCTACCGAAACGTCGGCTTAAACCCAGTCTTATTTATCTCTTAATGTATTTTTTTAAATAATTATACTATTTAGGCAGCTAGACAGAGTCAATGAAATGTCAGAAACCATTTGCACGATTAAGAACTATAGTTCAGATTCCCGACAATTAGACACCCACAACAAAACTTTACCGCAAATGTTATAAAAAGGGTAAGTTGAATAATTTTCATTGGGTTAAAAAAAATAGAAGTACCAAAAATAATTTATTTTAAGACCAAACTATTAAAAACGTAATTTTTGTATCAACCAACTGGAAAAACATTGGTGAAGTTCAAATGTCAATTTTTGTTTATACAATTGTTTGGTGAAAAAGTCTTGTTCATATGTAAGTAAAAAATGCAAATTCGAAAAAGTGGAAAAATAAAATGTGTTCAAATGTGACATAAGCAAAAGTAATAAGTTTTAATTTTTTTGTGGCACAAAAAAACAGACAAATACATAATGACATAAATCAGGATTTTACAGCAAAATGAATCTCTAAAAAAAGATATTTTTCTAAGTAAGTAATATAATTTCGATAGGCACATTGTTTACCATATATTAGTCATTGAGCTCCAAATTGTCTTGAATAAAACCGTCAACCCAAACGTGCTTTAGTCATTGTTTCGTGGTTGATTTGTTCCGATCGTGTTGGCTCTGTTTTTCTGTCCAACTCCCACAATATGTAGACGCTTGTAGTATATTGTCTGGCACTCAATCAATTGTTCAATCATATTTTCAGCAATCCCAGAGGCGCTCGAATAATCGACTTCATTTAACTGAAAAACAGTGGGCCACAGCTGAGCCACTCGGGTGCTTTTGGTGGGCGGACTCCCGCCGGAGTGGTTCCTTGCTGAATGGCATTACGATGTAATATTGCATTAGATGATAGATTTATTCCCAGCTCAATTTTAACTGCCACTTTTGCTGTTTGCCGTTATTTCCGATTCCCAATTCAGTATCCCCTTACTCCTTTCCCTTTTCTCCTTTCCCCTTTCTTCTTTTCCCCTACTTTCCACCAATACTTGGGCTTCGTTGCCGACTTCCTTCTTTGGCAGTTTACAACGTCCGCACAGTTTTTGGCCCAATGGCCGATTATGTCCTTTGGGTGCCTTTTGCCATTATTCCCCAATCCCTCACGCCTTTCCTCATTTCTCGCCGGGAGTTTCTCTCGTTTGGCTAACGTTTCCCACTTCGCCAGTTGGTTATTTCGGTTTTATTTTTACATTCTTTTTCCTTTTTTTTCGTTGCTTTATTTTTGCTACTACCACTTTATCTACTGGCCAAATCTGTATGCAGAAAATATTTTGTCCATCACCGACAACGTCTCGCCTTTTTTGCCTCGCTGGAAAAACTTTCGGAGTGAAAATGATAAACATCTTTGTGAAAATTCTGTGATTTTTTCCTTCATTCTCTTCAGTGATTTTAATACACTTGCGAAGGGTATTAGACAATAAACGAACCGATTTGAAATCGCTGATTATAAAATATATAAGAGCACACTTATACACAGCGTTATTTTTATACAGCATACTTTTAGGCACCATTTTAAGTGGCTTCAAATCTAAAGAGATTTCTATTTCACGGAATTAACATATATCAAGCAAGTATACCCAAAGAGTATTTGAAATTTCATAGCCTAAAATAAGCCTTATTTTTTTTAACAGTATCTGACATAGATTTAAAAAAAAAGTTTTTTTTGTGGGCTTCACAAAACATATAGCCATCTCGCTCGGCTTGTACATTCTGCGGCTTGTTTCTTCCTCTTGCGCCCCACTTCCGTTTCCCATCCTTTCGTCATCTGCTTTTTGGTCGCTTCATCAATGTTTTGGTGTGAAATGTAACAGCCACTTATTGTGATTGTTCGGGTGTGGGTGTGGGTGTAAGTGTGGGTGTGCTGCTGTGTGTGGAGAATAAGAGATGGAACGTCAAGCGTATCAGATGGCAAAGTCCCCCATCCAAAAATCGCCGCCTGAAAACCCTCTTCCACCCACATGATGATGATTCTGTTGGGTTGTAATTTTTGGTGTCCTTTTCTTCGATTGCAACATCATTTACACGCTCTGCCGTATTTATCAATCAAATTGAAATCTGTTTGTTGTTACCAACCAACCAACCAACCAACCAATGAATCCCTCCCGCCCACCATAAAATAATTGAAAAAACGAAGCAAAAGCTGATGAAGTTGAAAGCAGGGCGGATTTTATATAAAAAGAAACATGTGTGTTGCTCTGGCCAGCCGAATGAAAAAACGGAAATGGAATTGCCAAAGTGATTGTCATTTTTTAGGCTAGTACTCGGAGTTTCTTCGTCACTGAAGTGAAGTCCTTAAGATATGGATTCACAATGAATATTTCGTTCCAAAATAATAGTAGTTTACAGAGACTTCTTATTAATAATATATCAAGAAAGAGGACAAATATTTGTACGAATAGTAAGAATATAACATATATGTACATTAATTGTCTGGTGTTTAAAACTTAAAAAGTCTAGTTACGTATTTCTTAATATTCAAAAATCTCAGCATTCTTTTGGCCCTATGACCAGGATTTCCAATTACAAACAGAAAACCAAAAAACACAGAGCTTGCATATATGTATTAAAATTTAAATAAATTTTCAAAGCGCAATAGAAAATGTTGTTTTTTAGCTCTATAATTGCTTAAGCCTTATTAAATGTTATTCATGGCG